TTGCGCTTTTCACAGCGCTCGCCTTGAAGACATTAACCCAACTCAGTTTTCGCATAATGAATTTTGAACGAGGCGACGAGACAAAATTTATGAGCTTTACAAATCATTTCAGCCAACGAGAAAATTTCTGTTGCAATGCGGGCAACACGAAAAGCTGTTAATTATTGTGTAGCCTATTAACAAAGGCAGGATATCAAGGATATCACCAGGCTAATGGCTCAGCCCATCTCTCTCACTCCCTGACTCTCTGTCGCTGTCTCTGTCTCTGTCTCTCCTTGTGTAAATGGCCCGCATATGCGTTACATTTAAGAGACATTTGCACTCGACACTTTGGCGCAACAATTTGCGAACTGTTGCAGCAAAGTTTTGTGGCCACCAAGCCTCACGGATCTCTCCATCTCTCTCTCCCTCTCTCTCACTCCCTCTGTCTCTTCTATATCTAGCTCTATCTCTAACTCTTTCTGTTGGCTTTTTAGGCTGGACCGCCTGGCGCCATTTAGAAGGCACATTAATCAATTTAGCCGTCAGCAGCAGCAAGAGCAGCATCAGCAGGAGCAGCAGGAGCTGTAACGGCAGCCAAGCGAAACCGAAAGCTGCCTCCATGTAAATTATAAGTCCGTTTTGCTGTCCGGCTAAAATTCTGACTCTAGTCCTGCTCTGCACTCGAGAATTCCTGCTGTTCACATCTCACTCTCTCTCTTTCTTCGTTTTCCTCTTTGTACCACTCTCTTTTCTTTGTGTTTTTGTGCATGTTTGGCGCCAGTTTAAAAACTTAATTAAAAGCATAACAAAGCCAAAGCTGAGCCAAAATAAAGTAAAGAGAAAAATACTTAAACTTGACGCTCAACCCACAGCATTCTCTGCTTTTTCGGCGCTCAACTGAATGCTTTAAGGAACGTTTACATCCACACGCACACACACACATACACATGTTTGGCATTTAGATGCAATTAAAGTGAAACATGCAAATGGAAATGAAATAAAACATAAAAACTTTTATATATACGTATGTGTGTGTGTGTGTATATAGTAAAAACTAAACAGTTATTGTTAGTTGTTGGGTCTAGCGCTTGTGTCATTGCAGCTTTTGTGCATTTGAAATTTAATTAACACTCAAACGCACACACACACACACACACACACATACAGGCATTATAGTGCAAGTGACAGCGTGGCAAAAAAGAAACTAATAAAAACTCATTTCAAAGAGTTTTTGATGAGGCTCTGGACGCTGGATCAACAAGCAACAGCAGCTGCAGCAGCAGCCCAGAAGATTGAAGTTAAAGGCGCGCCAGCAGAGGCGCAACTGCTGCAGGCTGTGTATAGCTTCCGCTGTGCTACTGGCTCTGCTCTGGCTTTGCTGCTGCTAATTCAGCGCCTGTTGCTATTGTCCGTGATGGAGAAAAAAGAAGTGGAATGCAGAAGGACACAGCTCCACTGGCACTGGCAACAGGATGCGGCCAGCTGGGCTGCTGTTGTCTCAGTCCAGTTGGACTCTCCTCTCGCTACTGTTGCTGTTGCTGTTGTTGCTTGGTTGCTGTTGCTCTTCCTCTTCTACAAGTTTTACTCTAATGAATGTCAACTTGGTCCGCCACGCAAAAGTTTCGTTGCTCCGGCTGCAGCTGCTGGCATTTTTCGCATTCGAAATTAATCAGCCAAAAGTTGCGGTTTGTTGGTCAAGTTTTATGGCCAATTATGATGGCGATTAGCTAGTCTCGCTATTTATATATAAATGTATAGAGCGCGCTTTAATTAAATGAAATATTTCGCTGTTATGGACCAAAATAACAGCCAAGGATATTGAATCACAAGAAGGAGAGATAGCAAGAGAGAGAGAGAGAGAGAGAGACAGAGCAAACATATCTAATAGCAATAAAAGCCAATTGAAAAGATAAATTGACGTAGAATTGACTCTATTACTAATACTCTAAGCGCATTGTCTAAGCAGCTTAGAATAACTTATTGAGAATTTAATCTGTATGATTCACTTACTGAGTTCACTTATTACAGTTAAGCGCATAGTAATGCTACTCAAACTGTGTTCCAAGAAAAATATAAATAAAATCAACTTTATTTTGTATTTTTGACATCAATTTTGATCTCCTTCCTTTTCACTTTCTGAACGAACATAAAGAGACTTTTTATATATTAAAGCCCGCAAACTTTATTAAACAGTTAATGGAACTAAAGGCCATGTAAAGCCCGTGCAAGTCGTGACACAAATTCAAATCACCCAAAGCAATGCTAAGTGAACGCATTTAAGCACATTCTATTAACGTAGTTATGCGAATCAGTCAACAAGTTCTTTACTTTACCCAAAGAATTCGAAACGACGAAAATTTGTCAGCTTGTCGTGCGCCACGCCCTCCACCCCCTCACTGGTCCACAACTTGCCCACTAGCCCCCGCGTCCACCCGTACAAGCCGTCAGCTGTTGAAAATTAAATGGACTTTCATTATTTATACGCTGTGATTTTCAAACAGACAGAAAGCAAACTGTCGCTGCCCACAGCCAACCCTCTCTCTCTCTCTCCCTCCTTACGAATTATTCCCCCCCCCCTCTCACTCTCTCTCTCTCTATCGCTTGCTGTCATGTTGTCTGTTAGTTGGTCCAAATATTTGCAGCTCTGAACATTTTCCATTGGACTTTTATGAACGATTTTTGACGATTTCGATTTTACCGAGTCAATATTTACATATTGCCAGCCAGTGGATCCTCCGCCACTCCACCCAAACACCGCCCGCACCACTTGTCGTGCTGACTCGTACGTTTTGCTCACAGTTTATTGGATGTGCAGTTGCCCAAATATAAATCGCATATCGGATTCTCAATGCTCGCATAGCGCATAAGCCGCTTAGCACGAAAATTACTCATACGCCTAGTTGAAAATTCGAATATTTTTTCACCCACTTTGTGTACCCTGTAGTTCAGTGAGAAGTTTAGATAGAGGTTTGACATAGATGTACATAGCTGGTGAATGTTAAGCGGAAGGAATGTAAGGATATGCATGTAGGTTTTATGCAACTTCTGACGAAGTTGGATTGCAGGATTTAGCATG